GCTTTTGCTTTGCACAGTCACTACCAAGGAAGAAGTATAATAWTTTTTGCCCATTTCAGTATTAGCTTGTTTTTAATCCTCACAAACTGCCAGTGTAACATTTGCAACTATTATTATTTGTATGCTTATAACTTTACATCTTGGACAGGGAAGACTGTCTCAGGTTTTTTCCTATTTTTTTTTTTCAGTTTTGATGCTCTCTGTTCTGACCCTGCAGCAACAAAACACTAAGGAATAACTACTACTGAACTCTCTCATTTTATACATGTGCCCCATAAGAATTAAATAAATATGTCTATAAATATGTCCATGAACACTCACCCTAYGGTTCATATGCTTTATACTGAAAGAAACTTCAATTCATATTTGAATTCATATTTGATTTTCTGAAGAATATGGTTGTATGAGGGACAAAGTATCCAATAACTTGAAGGATCACACTGCTGAGGAGTCTGGGTGATCATTCCAAAGCTCTTCCCTAAGGATTCTAAAATGCATGGAAACTGAGTTCTTCACACTAATATTGGAGGCTGTGACCTACATATGTGTTTTGCTTTTTTGGGTGACGGTTACAAGTCATAATTTTTAATTAAACTTATTTTGTTTAATCCAGATTAGAAACATTCATTTTGGTACAGAGAATGATTTATGATTTTGTTGAGTCTCTTCTTCTAGCTGAAATACAAACCCACTTACAAAGAATTAAATGGAATAAATAAGAAAGAGCAATCTAATGCCAAGACCCAGCAGAAGGAAATACTGATTCACACAACGTACTATTCACCTGCAGAAATTATTGCCATAAAAAGGAATTAAGGTCAAAAGCAGACATCAAAGCATAGATTGAAGGGTGTTTCTGGAAGATTTGGAACGGATTTTAGAAAGGCTCTAAAATTCCCTGTTTCAAGATTAAACCAACAATTCATTATTGAGGGTGAACAAAAGGCAGCAAGGGGAAGGGCAGATTGTCCCCCATCCATAATTTCCCCACTGTTTTCAGCAGCATCCAAGGCCAGACACAGTAAAAGTCAGAATACAGTCAGACAGAGAGGCACAGAACTGGGAATGGCACTGGTATATTTATCTTCCCTTGTAAAAACAAAAATAAAGAAATGCTTGCAGAATTGATCTTTGAAGTTTTTTTTCTACCTTCCTGATGCTTTTTCAGTTCAGGAAAAATAGAGTTTATTGACACAGGGAAAGCTGTAAACTCTGCAGCCAGGTTTGAGGGGGCTTTGTATCTCCACAGCTTTCAGTGTCTCAATCTCATATTAGAAATACAGTGCAAATAAAAAACTGACAAATACCCCCAAATTATATTTTAAAATTATTTTTAAATGAGAAATAAATTATATTGCCATTTTTAAGTATCATTGACTGTACTGACTGTGAAAAATTATTCTGAAGAGCTTCTTCAATAATCAAAATTATTCTAGCTATTTTTAAGACACTCTTCCTGTGAAGAAGGCACTTTACAAATTCCAAGGACTCAATTTTTTAAATTTCTTGAGAAGACAGAATTTTTATTTTTATTTTTATTGCAATATTGCCTGGACTTCACAATCTAGCACCGTGTCTTCATCCCCTCTGTTGTGCAAACACATGTGACAGTATTTTGAAAATGTCTGTCTCCAGAAAACCACTGAGGAAGCYTCACAGACAGAGAAGAACACAGAGGGAACAATTGCAAAGATTTATTTAACGCTTTCTGTGCTTGGCACTTAGAAACAGAGTTCCGTGCATAGGGCAAATCTTTATACAGCTTTTTCTTCATACATATTTTACATACCATTTTTATTGCCCTCTTTTATATTCATAATATTGAATACCCCACTAGGCATATAAATACATTTATCTACAACACCTCACAACAACTCTCAATAATATCTGTATTCTGTTACTCGGTATTTGCATTTTCACACAACTTAAATGCATAGCTTGCACCAAGCTACAATTGTTTTCTTATTTTTAAAGGATTTGAAGAGAAAAAAAAATAAAAGAATAAGGAAAAAAGAAAAGAAAGATGTTAAAAGGCAATGATCTATTTGGTTAAACAGAGATCATGTGGCAGGTGGAAGATTGGCAAATACTCAACCTCACTGTTTTTGAAACGCTAATGGTTTTCTACGGCAACTCTCGCATGCAAGGTCAGCTGCACTTCTGTAGAGCTCTCTTTTTTTCATTGCTCTTCCCCATGAGCTCAGTCTGGACAGTTTCTTCCCGCTGGGATGAGTGCTGTGGGACACAGAATTGTGGGACACACCAATTCCCCACAGAGGCTGCCATCCCTTTGGTTTCSCTGCTTTATTCCAGTCAAGTCAGCAGAAGCTGAGCCCTCTCCCCCCATTCATCTTTCCAAAGTTCCATCCCCACTTCTGTCTGAGACTCACTCATGAGCTAAAACTCATCTCTCTTCTCTCTCTCCCATCTCCATCTGCAGKCTGGGTGTTGGTGAGCTCAACCTTCATGAAGAAACAGCCACGGTGAAAATGCAGAAACCTCTTTGGGAGAAGCTCCAGCCCAGCGGGGCCATTCTTGTGCTACAGCAGAAGGACCCAAAGGCCACTGTTGGTTTCAGAATTGGGCTGAGCCTCTCCATCAGCGAGGAATGGTCTGGGAAGGGGGAGGTCTCTAGAGCCATGGGCAGTGATGTTTCAGAGGATGAAGCCCTCTGAGAAAGGAGACTGCCCTTCTTCAGCACCCAGAGGAGAAAGCACAGCRGAACGGGTCCCTCCACGCCGAAAAAGCTCACACTGCTGAAAGTTAATGCATGCACAGAAAATTCAGCTGCTTCTCTGCAGGTTCTCGTTAAAGTCATGCCCTCTTCTCTGCAATGTCAGGAAAAAGCAGATGTTCCATGCCAGTCTGGAGGCCCTGGGACACAACAAGGCTCTCCACAAGGTTCTGTGGCACACACCTGGATGGCTTATGTTCTCATTTATCATTACAATACTAGTTCCACTATAAGTTTGAAGRCAAAAGGGTACTGGGATGGGTTCACCCGCGGAACGATGAAGGTCTGGCTGCCTTCAGTGCCAAGGAAGGGCATGGCTGGTATTAGACCATGTGCACAGACATCTGTGAGGAGGAGCCCTGAACCGCCCCGTACTGTCTGTTGTCACAGGCGGTGGCCGTCTGCTGGTTGCCAGAGGGAGGGCTGATCATGTGCATCCCGTGATCCATCCCCGTGGAAAGGTATTGCCTCTCTCCAAAGGCCCCTCCGGACGGGGAAGAGCAGAGTAAAGTGCTTTGGGAGGTGGTGAGTTTCTCCGGGCTCGCCGCCAGCCTGGGGGACGCGGGGAAATTGTATCCRTAGAGGTTGTAGGGGTTGTGCAGGGAGAAGGCGTTGTAGGAGCTCTGCTGCATGTGGCCACCACCAAACATGTGTGAGGAGGACGAGGTGGAGGCAGGGCTGCCCGCTTGCATGACATACTGGAACTGGGAGCTGGGGAASGATCCCAGCTGGCCGCTGTACGGCTCCATCTTGCTGTTGCTGGGCAGGGAGGAAGGAGCCGGCATTCCTGAGATCAAGGAGGGAGTCCTCTGAGGCATGAAGGATTCGGAAGGCTGAGAGGCAGAGGCWGTGCTGCTCTGCAGCCGGTTGTAGCTCCCATCACCCAGCCCTGGGTAGCTCTGCAGAGCTGCCATGTTGCTCCTGGCGCACGGGGGATAATCGGACAGGTTGAGGTTGCAAAGCTGGCTCTCCCTGCAGCCAACGTTGAAAGTGTTGGGGGCCAGATGGAAGGCTGGGGGAGAGCAGGATGGAGAGAGAAGGTGAGAAGATGCAGATGGCGATGGGGTGCCCGTGCTGGAGGTGGTTGGGGAGGTCCCTGTGCTGCCTCCTGAAAAACAAAACACATGGGAGGATGTTCAACACCCACATCTGCAAAACGAGATGGTCTCATTAAATAACAGCTTAGTTTAATCAAGAAGTGAGGGTGGTAAAATGGCCGCTGGAAAACTCAGCCTTTCTTGGCAAGAGCCCTCACTTTATTAATCACATCCCTTGGTCTTTCCTTCTGCTTTTTTTGTTACAACTTTGATTTTTTTCCCTTTTAAAATGGGAGAGGGAAGCAAGCCTGCCACAGAGTAACCCAAGGCATTGGGAAAAGCTGCTCCATCAGTCAAGAGATTTGCCATTTCCAGGCATGTTTATCTAGTCCTTTTTTTAGGGGGAAAAAAAAAAAAAAGTAATTCCTCCTCTCTCCTGGTCTGCAGGAAGACCRCCAGGCAGTGAATGTATGGTCCCACTGCAAACATCCTTTATCATCTGCTCGGGGGCTTGTGGTGGGAAGTGGCTGAAAATGTGCTGGACTTGTGCACCATTCAGCATTTTTGTTCAAGCCAGAAGTAACACTAAAAGAAGGAAGGGACACACTTTCAAGTTGTAGTCTGCTCCACAGTGCACAGAAAAGGGATGTGTCAGGATTTTCAATCATGTGCTTAAACTTTGAAAGRGATTCCATATGTTGTACCAGCGGTGTTAACAAAATATTGATATGTGTGAGTGTCAGCAGTATCAACGCATTATACAATATTTATGCTAGGAATGATGGAATTGACCATTCTGCACAGCATGGATGCTCACATGTTCTGACTTGGGAAAATAATATTGTTCAATGCTACCAAGAATGGTATCAAACTGAAAGTGATGTGAAAAAGACGAAGGGGTAATTTTGAATTTGAGATTATTTATTCTGACCTGGGAAAATAATATTGTTCAGTGCTACCAAGAATGGTATCAAACTGAATGTGATATGAAAAAGATGAAGGCATAATTTTGAGTTTCAGAAGAGATTATTTATTCTGACCTGGGAAAATAATATTGTTCAATGCTACCAAGAATGGTATCAAACTGAAAGTGATGTGAAAAAGATGAAATTTTGAATTTGAGAAGAGATTTTTTATAGACAACATTCTGAATTGGAGGAAGCTTCCTTGAACAACCAGGAAAATGAGCTCAAGGGAATTCAGTTTTCTGACGTGAAAACTTTTATTTTCATTTGATTATTCTCTTTGCATGAGATTCCTTTTCTGCATTAGGGCAACTAACACTGGGRACTCTGGGAAAAGGACCAAAGAAGTGCTGATGAAGAGATTTGACCAGGAAATAAGGAAACCCAGAAAAACTGGGAAGACAGCTGGTGAGGCAGCATTTCAAACGAAGTAGAAGATCACAGATGAGAGGCAAAGGGACTTGAAAAGACAGTGTTAGAGTGGGCAGATGAAATTTCACCAAGGCAGAAATTGCACACACTGAGGATCAAAAATAAGGGACGGCTTTTTCTTGTATCCCCTTGTGAAAAAAAAAAAATCCCAGCAGGATTTTGAGAACAGCCTATGTCTGCTGCAAAACAAAAAGGAAGGAACCTCATGCAGTGTTGATGAAAAGAGAATAGGTGATGCTAGTGGTTAAGTGATGCACTAAAAAGACAGGTTCTGTGTCAGTAAATGATGGTGAGAATGTAAGTGAGATTATATCTGGTTCTTATGGAGACACATCTGGGATGAAACAGAATGGGGAGTGAAAATGTAACCTTGAGACATCAACAATATCTGTGATTTTTTTAAATTTAAATTTTTTCTGAACCAGATTAAGAAAAAAAAAAAAGAAGAAAAACAGCTTTGGGTAAGCATAGTCTGGAGTGATTGTTGTTGACCCAGGCAACATTAAAAAAGGCAAATTTCTGTGTTGCTAAGTCAAAGCAGTCTTTCCCATTACCAGCCAGGGGCAGGAATGCTTATCAGTTATTGCTGAGCAACTGAGTCCTTTAGTCATTCATTCAGAAGCATAAAAGRGAAGCATTGCATCAAATCTCCATTAAAGTTAATGAGAGAAATTGAAGTTTCAAATGCCATCATGGACTCTCTGCATTTACTTCTTGACAATACTGAAACGCTCACACTTGCTCACGTATTTTAGCTCCAGAATTCAAAGGCTTGTTGTGTAAATTTCTAATTTAGCATTTTTTTAAAAAGTTTCACTTCCCTGATTCATTTTAGGTCTCTGGCAGACAGCCTCAGGCTATTTTGGCTGTGGTAAWTTCAGATGGTTCCTCCTGCAGCCTGTTTCCCTGTCTCTCTGTTACAGGTTGTCACTACTGCAGAAGGAAAGTTCTGCCTCTACACGAGTGGTTCTGCACTCTGGTTTAGCTGAAATTGCAGATAAAGGTGAGATTGAACAGATTTACACAACTACAGATGTTCATTTTTCTCTTAGCCCTGCTGTAAAGAGCACAACCTCCAATGGGGTGGGCAGGCAGAGAATTAAAATCAGGTATCATCTTCATTTTCCAGTTATCTCAGCCCACAATAMAGAGGTCAAATAATCACAAAGTGAGATATAACCCACAGTAATCCTGCTCTYGACTCTTTACATCAGATATTTCATGAGCAGACTGTAGAAAGTGACTCGCTGACTGTGTCTGGAGAGTAAGTTAAAATGCATATGTAATATATGTATGAGCATTTAATAATCTGTTTGAAATCAAATATGTAGAATAAATTATTAAAGGCAATGTCTTCATTTTTGTTTTCCTTTGCCCCATAGTTAAACTTCAAAAACTCAGCAGCAKAAGAGTGCACACAGTTTACCTCAAGCATTAGACTTTACTTATTTGCTGAGGAGCTGCAACTCAGTCGTACCCATAACTGAAATTTTGGCTACACAGAGTAAGAATAGATTGCTCATTAGCAATTTCAAGGATTGTTTAATGCATCCAAAACTGAGAATTGCACAATTCGGGTCACCCCCCAAAGAGGGACCGAGTGATTCTGCTTTGAATAATCCCTGTTTGCAGGCCAGCAGAAAAACCCTGAGGTGACAACATAGCGGTTGAAACAAAGAAAAAAAAAAATATTGTTCTTTTTCTCTGTAGCTTCGAAATGATGAGGAGGAGGTAAGAGATACATCAATAGGAGCAAATGCCAAAGCTGACAACTCTTTTGAGAATGCTTTGCTGCCAATGCCAGCCAATGCTACCACAAACTGTAATACAGAAGCAGAAAGTTCCTGATAATTTGTAGAATAATCTTTACACCTTTAAGTGGAACAGGAAATAATACAAAGCAAGGCCTGTGTCAGCTCATTCTCTTGGGASCAGCTCCACTCTGCTCTGAGGAATATTTCTGAGCCATCATTGCTGGCAGCCCTAAGTATGGGCCAAACACAACCTGGARTTTTGTGAAGTTAGAACTTGGTCTGTAGTCATTACAAAGTCAGCCAAATACCCCTAGAGATGGCAGCAAGCCCAGCAAATATATCCACACCATCCTGCAGTCTTGGATACACAGATGTGTGTGTCATTTTAATGGAAGGCATGGATCAAAACCAATCCAGTTCAACTGATACACAAAACTACGTTCAGGTCTGGTTTCAGTCAACTGAAACCACATTCAAGCAAGAATAAAATTAATCCCTCGATAATTCTCCTCTGTTCCTTTTCTCTACCTGGAAATAGTTGCCAACACCAAAGCATTTACCAGTAATGTCACAGTATCTCTCACCTCCACACTTACCATGATTGCAGAGTGATTAATTACGAATTTGACTGGACTCCAGCATATCATGTTTTGGCTCTGCAGATATCAGTCCCACATATGTGTGGTTATCGAGTCACATTTGGATCAAATAGAAGGTTCTGAATTTCAAAGACTTTCTGAATTTCAATTTCCCCTCCTTTGTGTCTGAACCCTGCCCTGCATGGGCAGATGAAAGTGTTTGTCCTCTATTGTCACCAGGGCTTAGCCAAGCTAAGCTGTCATCCTGAAAGGAGCTTCTTCTCTGAGCATACAAGTGATAACTACTTATCAAAAGGACAGAAGCATTTTCAGTGAGGTGGAATAGAGAACGATCAAGAGCAAGAGAAGTCAAAATTTGTGAAGCAGGAAATCATTGGTAAGTAGGAGAAGAGGGAAAAAAGAAGAATGAAATCATGGTGGAAGAAGAGTGAAACCCTGTTGAGAGGGTRGGATGTAAAGGCAACCTTCTTCCTCATGCCAGCATTTCCTCTCATGACTRTTGTGACATTTGTGACCAACATCAGATATGTACCCACAAAGGTTAGAGGAAAAAATTACATCTTTTACTCTGTGTATCAACAAGAACTTCCATTAAAAGATCATCTCAAGTAGCTTATGACTGGTTTTTCCTTCCTGTCACCTCTGTCCCTCAAAAACCCAGTCATGGTGCTGTCTTCCTAGATGTTCCAAACAAACCCTTGGTTTTGCTTTTACCTAGACTGAGCTTGTTTAAAGGACAGYTTCAGGGTAAACTGCAGTTCAAATATACCCTGTTCATGGGTATGATGTGCCTTTAAAGGAGGTGTTGGAGTATTTTTGAAGCATTCAGCATGCCAGGGTATCTGAAATGGTGCCTTTAAAGGAGGAGTTGGAGTATTTGGAGTATTTTTGAAGCATTCAGCATGCCAGGACATCTGAAATGGTGCCTTTAAAGGAGGAGTTGGAGTATTTGGAGTATTTTTGAAGGATTCAGCATTCCAGGGCATCTGAAATGGTGCCTTTAAAAGAGGAGGTGGGGTATTTTTGAAGCATTCAGCATTCCAGGGCATCTGAAATGGTGTCTTTAAAGGAGGAGTTGGAGTATTTGGAGTATTTTTGAAGGATTCAGCATGCCAGGGCATCTGAAATGGTGCCTTTAGAGGAGGAGTTGGAGTATTTGGAGTATTTTTGAAGCATTCAGCATGCCAGGGCATCTGAAATGGTGCCTTTAAAGGAGGAGTTGGAGTATTTGGAGTATTTTTGAAGCATTCAGCATGCCAGGGCATCTGAAACACCACAGGGACCTCTTCCACACAGGGCAGATCACAGAGAACTTCTAACA